CTTCATCATCACAAAGGATTTTCATATTAATCAACTAAAGTTATCAGTAAAGGCAATGGCTTAGATTTGCCAAACAAGAATTAAAAACGGGAGGTCATTGGTGCTCATTTTATGGAGCAAACTGCACAGCAATTTCCAGCATCTGTATGCGCTTTGGTAAATGTGGAAATCAAGGTTGCTGTCTGATTTGGCCTGTTCCTCCTCAAGCTTCACAAGACTGAATCACCATTGAAAGATTTGGCATTAAAATACATAAAAGGCACGAAGAAGCAATATTTAACACTGAACACACCAGGAAAAGATTTAAGGTTGGTGCATTCAGGTGTAAGCAAACTTTTAAATGCTGTGATGAGTCTTAATTACTGCCAAATATTTTAATTGTAAGTGTAATTTTGCAAACATAGAGTTGCTTTTCTTCAGAATGTAATTATAGTTGGAAAGGTTTTCTTAAAAAAGATGAAATAAAATGCTATTTTTTCCCTTGCACTTTCTCAATCAGATCTTTCTTTTGTTTTCTATTCACCATTTTATATCAAATCCACACTTCCTGGTTTAGACTCTGTGTCTTAGTCACAATCTTCAATCTGAGTGACTGAAGAAATAAAACGCTGCATTCCCTACATACATACACCAGCGATCTCCTATACAGGGCCCATGCTGAAAAGGATTTCTGGTAATCACAAATTGCAACTCAAAAGCCTACAACAGGTCTGGACAGCTGTAACCATCATGAATGGTACATTTTTTTTACTGCTGACTGCAAAATCTCAGCCAATATATCAGGCTTCAATTCTGCAGCACAATTGCAAATTATGTGAAAAATCCTTCAGAATGCCAAGTTATTTTTAAATAAAATGTCCCACAAAACACAAGAAAAAGTGGGAATTTGCAGTTGCAGAAGTCATATAAATCTTTGGCTATAAACTTTAGTAGAACAATGCTTTGCAACAATGTTGCATAATAACTAGATTTTCATCCCTTGCATCATAGGAGCTTACATTCCTCTTTCATAATGTGTAAGATGGAGGAGCAGAAGTAGACCATTCGGTTCATTGAATCTACTCCATCATTCAATGAGATCACAGGTCATCTGATAATCCTCAACTCCACTTTCCTGACTCATCCCTGTATTCACTGACAGATTGGAAATCTGTCTATCACAGACGTGAATATACTTAATAACTGATCTGACACAGCAAAAGAATTCCACAAATTCACTACTCTCAGAGAAAAATTGCTCATGTGTCTTAAATCAGCAAACTATTACTCTGAGATTATGCCTGTGGTCCTAGAATCTCCCACAAGGGAAACCAACCTTTCAGTATCAACCCAGTCAAGCCCCTTAGAATCTTACATGTTGAAGTAAAATCTCCTCTCATTCTTCTAAATACCAATGAGTACAAGACCCAACCTAATCAACCTCTTCTCATAAGAAAATCCCTCCACACCCGGATCAGCCTAGTGAACCTTCTCTAGACTGCCTCCAATGCCAGGTATCTTTCCTTAGACAAGGAAGTTGATGTATGACAAGAGCCGCAGATTTGAATTATTCATGCTGTCAGCATATCCAAAATTTTTGCCTGCAGTTTTTCATGACCGGGAAACAAAAACTCTTGAATACAATTTATTTTTCGCTGAGACAAATTTTGTGGCAGAATACAAACTAAAGTTTTGAAAAAATACTCTAACCAAAAACCAGGAAAAGGCCCATGAGCCCATCAAAATCACTCCCCTCACAGTTCATACACAATGCACCCTTCTCCAGATCTCTGAATCACCTCACACATATCCCAACAGCAATTTCTGCACACATAGTCTCCGTTTCTGACCCTCTCAGGACCAACGGAACAATTTTCTTATATATTACTCATATAAAACCAGTCTGTGAAAGAATCCTGTCATTCTTCTCTCAACCTATCTTTGCCCTTGAGATAAAAGTATCCAAAGTGCAATTACGAGTACAACTTAAGCAAGGTTGACAATTTCTTCAAGGAACTTCATTAAAGTCAAAAGAGAGATCACGTATTTCATTAACATTGTTGAAAATTGGCTCAAATTCAATCAAGAGAATAAACACCAGTAATGGGACTATTCATTTTTTTGCCAATGAAGGTAACAGAAGTCACAGATATTGAAGACTTTTGCTGAACAGATAGTTAGATTACAAACACAAGCATGTCAAAGATTAATGACTTTATATGCTGTTATTACAGTATGGCAAAATAGGCTGCATAAGAACAACAAAGTAAATTAGGTCTGCTCTTGCATATTCCAAACAGTTCCAATTCTGAACAGTATTAACATATGTAAACATCGACATGGATTACCACAGTGTATCAAACAGAATAGGAATTTAAAGCTTGGCTGCTAAGATTTACTGTTAGCATGATGCTGATATTCATAGTAGAAATGGAATTCTGCCCAGTGAGTGCAAGGTTCTGGAAAGCATCTCTTTCAGCTACCCAAACATGAACTCCCAGAAGCACAAGTTAAAAACTAGAGTCAGTCCAGAAAAATGAAGCTCTGACCTTTGATTTTTGAAGAAAATTTCATAACATTCTACTCCTTGACCAGTGAATCCTGAGAAGTTCAAAAGCTTCTGAAATTAGAAGGCTGCCACTCTGCTATCCAATGTACAATTACTACCAGCATTAGTTTTGATCATTTCTAAACCTCCATTTCTTGCTTTGAATTCAGGTTATTCAAGTTTTGTGTTCAATATACATTAGAAGAAAGTCCACTTGGACTATTAAATAGATGATAATATTGAAAAGCATTTCAGCATTAAAGCTATACTGTCATTGGTTTTTAGTTTTTGTAGAAACAAAAACCAAAAAAGTGTGAAGCGATACAAAAGCTTTTCAACTGGAAAATTGCACTCTCATACCATGATGTGAGATGTACAGTTATGTTTCCAGAGAAAGAATAAAAGATATCCTACCTCATGCTCAAAGCACATTCTTTCAAGATGTGCATTATCTCCCTATTCTCCAATGCATTAAGCTTAAAACCTTAGTCTGCAAACTTGCTCAATAGCCTTATGCCACCTTATTTCTGCAGCTTCTTTAAGCTGTCTGTTCCTTTCCATGCCTTCTAACCTGTAGATTCTACTCTAGTATGCTTCTGTTATCTCTTTCTTACACTCTTGGTGCCTTGACCCTACCTTCAGCCACTCTCTATAAATCTTATAATGTTGAGCGACTCCCAAATTTTTCTTCATGATTTGACATCCATTTTCATAACTTCTTCCCCCATCAGTGTAGTACTTTTGGTCATTGCAACATTAAACAAACCATGCCAACAAATGTGGTTATCTGTAGCAGTTATAAAATGGTAAGAAGTCATATGAATTTTGGTTAAATTGTTGCTGTAATTGTCCAGGTTTTTTTTATATATATGTATATATGGAAGGAAGAAATGTTTGAGTCTGTTGTTTTGATACAATTCATTTTGGCGACCGCAAGGAGCTACCATACAAGATATTGGCATAGTTGTGGTATGATCACTGCACAGTTTTAGTAGTCAGAAAATAACAATTACCAACATGCATAAACAGTTGGATAGCATAGATATTGGTGACTGTCATTTTAAACACTAACACATCTACTTTGATTTTATTCTTTTAATTAACCACAGTATCACAAATACATATGCAGTTAGAGGGGTGTTCATTATACATTGTAGACTGTGCCATTTTAATTCCATATGTAACCTTTGCCCCAGTTGTACTCACAGGATTTCTGATTTTATCAATTTGTACCGCACCCATGTTCTTAGGGTGAGCCCCAACACTATCTGTTAACGTGCAGAGTCCACTTTCAGCACATTTGCACTTTGAAAATCAGTCACACTTATATACATTAGTATCACAGTGAATTACATTAGTAAAAAGACCATGAATTTGAAGAATGGGATTTCCACTCATTAAGAATACACAAAAGCAAATTCCACTTCATGTTTGGCCCATTTTGAGCACTGGCAACATATGTTTATTGATTTGTTATTTTCTTCATGAACTCTATGCTTCAGCACACATCACTGTGCTACTCAGAAATCAGTGTGCATATTATTTGAATATTAGAACCTTCCTGATAATTGAGTTACAATAAGTATCAGCACACATCACTCATGCCTATAATTAATAAAAGGGGCTTTTAGGAATATGAAATCCTAACAGAAAGTACTGGATCATGCATTACCTCTGTTTTTATTCTCTTGGGAGACGAATCATCTTGTTCTGCACATCTAGACCTGCAGTTAAATACACAAGCAGCTTTTAAAAATATAACAATGCGAGTCTGAATTGTCAGGTAAAGGAAAAAGTCCAATGAAAATTTCTAGAGTTTAAAAATGAAGCCCTCACCTGGAGGTTTTATAGCTGTACTTGTAGGTTACCTCACGGGAAACTTGTCGAGCTAATGTAAATAGTTCATCTCTCCGAGTGAGCAATGCATTATCCTTTGTACAGAGTTGAGCAGCTGCTTCATTAACAGTTAACTGTAAGCAAAGGCCAAATTATGAGTTGCAAAGCTATTTTAATGGATCAGCTGGTTGAAAAGCAAGTAGCGGACTCATACTGAGCAGAAAGATTAAATTCCCAGCCTATAATGAGTCAGTGGGTCTCAGCTGGGGCTGTGGTAAAGGGCTACTACAACAATAATAACTGATTGAGTTTTAAGTATATTGAAACGTTTCTGAGAAAAATGAACTATTATACAAATGTAAGCTTTTTTATTAACCATTAGTAGTGGGACAGGGAAAAGAAACACCACTGCACTTACATTTTTTCAATTGCTGTCCATTACCCCTCTGACAGGAGAACATGCTGGGCTAAAGTGTAATGAGCCTTTTGTACAAATAGTCAGCAAAACTCAACTTTAAAGTCTTGATATATTCACTGGATTAAATAACAGGGTAGATGGCATGGCCAAATAAGATTTCAATTACATTCAAGGTAAGGAAGGAAAGGTAGCAAGAAAAATGCTTAAAGAAACAAAATTTTAATTAAAAGCCTTTCAACACAGAGTTCAAGAAAAAAAAATCGTTTTTGTTCAAATAAATGAATTAAAATAAAAGCAAACAACATAACACTAAAATTACAGCTCATAACATGCCCATAACATAACAGCTAAATATTGCACCTTCTAGAATGCCCTAATAGATCTGACAGCATCATGAAGACAGAAACAAAGTTAACACTTCAGATGAAAGGTTGCCAGCCGGACGTCTTAGCACTGCTTCTCTCTCCACCGAAGCCTCCAGACCTGCTGAGTACTTTCACCACTTTCTGTTTTAACCCAACTTCAATTATGTTTCCAAGGCAAGATGGCACAATAGTTAACAGGACAGCCTTTTTTCTGTAAGCAAATATGTATAAATGGTTTAGATAAATGGTTCGGAGCCTCAGTCCTTCTTCATGTGAAGATGTTAGATGTCTTTTGGCATAATTGATGTGCCCCTCCCTTTAGGCCAGAAGGTATGGGTTCAAGTCCTACTTGCCCTTTGGGGTGTGGTATAACATATCTGAATACAACGATTAAAAATACTTCTCTTTCACACATGTAAGTGCAGCAAGTAGGCTCCCAAGGTTCAGATTTTTCTATATTATTGGGCAACAAACATGTTGCATGCCTGCATTTGGTTTGATTTCGTTTAAACACTCTAAGCGGCTCCTCAATTAAAATGTTGGCTTTACTAGTGACAGGAGAGGAGCAAGAACTATGAATTCTTCAAAGTGTAATGTATTTGAAATAGATTGAATACTTTATTAAAAAAATTGTAAGTTTTACACAAGTCTAATAAAAAAATATGCGACTGCTATTTATTATAACTGATTATAACTATTTTATCTAATAACTTTAATAAAGATATTTGCCAGATTTTGGAGCTAAAATGATAATGAGTTTAAATGATACTCACTGTTGAGTAAAGGAGTGAATGGTTTTGCTACTTGTGGCAAGAAAAAGATACGTGATTTTCAAATCATTACAATTACTGGTCAATCTAAATCCCTCCCTCACTAACTTTGCAAAACCAGCAGCTTGCCCTCAACATCTCAGAGTTTCATGAAATTGCTGCATTAGTGTTTTAACTGACAATTAATTCCGCACAGAAGGTTAGCACTGCTGCCTAAGACAGCAATCAACTCTTTGTTCTCGAAAACAAATGTAGTAAACTATAAAGTTTCATTCCTACAGATTTTTGTTTTTCTTATTTCTAATTTCTTTCTTCACTTAATCTTCATTTTCCTCTCTGTACTAAATTTCACCAGAATTTATCCTATTTCCTTCTTTGTTGTTTAACCCGTTAATTAAGGTAGCAGACTATTGGTCCTTAATGTGTGCACACGCATACACACACAGAAAAACAGAAATTGCTGGAAAAGCTCAGCTGGTCTGGCAGCATCTGTGAAGAGAAATCAGAGTTAACATTTTGGATCCGGTAATCCTTCCTCAGAACTTCAAAGTGTAATGTATTTGAAATAGATTGGAATACCTCATTAAGCTCAAAAATACAAATTGTAAGTTTTACACAAGTTTACTAAATATATGCAACAGCTATTTGTTATAACTGATTAGAGTTTTGAGGAAAAGTCACTGGACCCAAAACGTCAACTCTGATTTCTCCTCACAGATGCTGCCAGACCTGCTGAGCTTTTCCAACAACTTCTGTTTTTGTTTCTGATTTACAGCATCCGCAGTTCTTATGGTTTTTACAGACTATAGGTCCTGTTCTTCAATGTCCAGATCCCTGTTGTAATTTTTAACCATTAGCATCCAGCAATTTATAGAGCACACAATTTTCGAGCTGAAGGATGGATGAACGAGGAGAAATGTACTCCCTCCAGCAAAATCTGGGCCAATTATGAAAAATGACTTTCTTAGAAACTGTTCAAAGATGACCAGGATTTATCTAGATGACAAAAGTTCTTGAACAGTTTAGAAATGTTTTCTTATAGATTCAAACTATTAATTAATTTGCAGAAGTGGAAGACATTTATTGACCTAATATAATTTCTACAGATCTTAAAATGTGATTGGTTAATACATTTAAACAAATCAAACACTGGGAAACAATGAAATCTTGACCCATGAAGTACTTATGTTTACAAAATACTGATATCCAAAACATTTGGCAAATTAGTGGGGTTTTGTCAAAACTATGACTTTCTGACATCTCATTAATCCATAGGGTGTACTAAAGCTTTTAAGGGCACAAGTTAACAGAGAAGTCTAAAAATAAACAAAAACAAAGTTGCTGGAAAAGCTCAGCAGGTCTGGCAACATCTGCGAAGGAGAAAACAGAGTTAACGTTT